ATCAAACTGGCTGAAAGCCTTGTGCACGGCGAGAGAGGCCGAATACTGTAGGCAAGTTAGTTACCCTCCCTGTTTCTCGGTTTCCTCATCTAGAAAGCTGCTATGACAATAGCTCCCATCTGAGCAATGTTGGGATTAAATGAAGCAGGTAAAGCAGGGTCTCTCGAACATTAAGCCCTTAGCAAATGTCAGCTACTGTGATGAAAGGTGATTACCAGGCCCTCTGTAAATGTTTTGGGGTGAATGAGTGAATGAGAGCCTATTAAGGTGAACGAGGCAATTTTCCACCCATAGAGGACATTTGGCAAGTGAGTCCCTCTGCCAAGGTCTTCAGCACAGGTCTGTGTACTGTGTCACCTGGATTGGTAATACCTTGTCTCCTTGGTGGGTAACAATCCAGTAACTGCTTCAGTGGAGCAGAAAATGGCTGAGGGAAGGTGACTAGGAATAGTTTATCAGACTTGAGAGATGAAGAGAGGGCAAAGGTTTATTCCTAAGCCCCCTAGGGACCTTTGAGGAGGATCTGAATCCATGATTATTCCGCTGCTAAATTCTGAGAAACCAGATGGGGAGGAGACCCTTTCTGGGGATACTCCTTAAATGGAGACAGTTTCTGCATCTAAAAACAAACAAACAAACAAACAAACAAAAACCTTAAAGTGGGCTGGGGTTATGGCTCAGCGGTGGAGCGCTCGCCTAGTACGTGTGAGGTACTGGGTTCAACTCTCACCACCCCATATAAAGGAGTAAAATAAAGGTATTTAAGGAAAACCTTAAAGGCAATGGAATCCCAATCATTTCTTTAGATGGTGAGCATAATTTTGACTTTTGTTCAATTTCTGGTCCCATTATTTACTATTTAGAAGATCCTGACATGTTCCTGTGTCCTGCTGATCTCACATGGAAATAACTCCCACCTCACATGGCTGTTGTGAGGTTGAAATGAGATTAAATTAAATGATTTACATGAGATCATTTACATGATGTAAACCATTGTGATCTTAGATGATCTTAGGTGATCCACAAACTTAGCGTGTGGATCAAATTTAAAATCCATGCCACACTTGGTTCTAATAAAAATGCTCACCTTCTAAGCAAGATTGACATTGAGTAGCTTTATTTTTTATTCTCTCTCTCTCTCTGTGTGTGTGTGTGTGTGTGTGTGTGTTACTGTGTTTGAATCCAGGGGTGTTCTACCATTGAACTACATCCCCAGCCATTTTTCTTATTTATGTTGAGACAGTCTTGCTAAATTACCGAGACTAACCTTAAACTTGCCATCCTCCCGCCTCAGCCTCCCAAGTGGCTGGAATCATAGGCGTGGGCCACTGGGCCTGGCCTGTATTTCTCATTCTTACAATTCTAATCGGAAAATCAAAAGGGTCTTTGATGGGGGTGGGTTGGTTAGGTTTTGTTTGTTTAAGGTACTAGGGATTGAGACCAGGGGTACTTTACCGCTGAACTACATCTCCAGCTCTTTCTTTCTTTTATTTTGAGACAGGGTTTCACTAATGCTAATTGCTAAGGCTGGCCTTGAATTCGTGATCCTCCTGCCTAAGCCTCCCAAATTACTGAGATTACGTAGTTCCATTCTAGGAAAAGCAAATTGCCTGACAAGGGTGCATATAGTGGATGCCTACAGTGAGGAGGCAGGCTAAAAAAAAAACTACAAAGGCAAGGGTTTTAGTTTGCTTTGTGTTGCTATAACAGAATACCAAAGACTGGATAACTCATAAAGAAAATAAGTTATCTTTCAACAGTTCTGGAAAGTAGGGTGTTCAAGGTGCAGGCATCTGTCAAAGGCCTTTTGTGTCATCTCATGGTGGACAATGGAAAGGTGGGGGATGAATTTATTCTTTGTAAGGATGCCTTTGCCACTGTAATGAACACCTCCCCCCTAATGACCTATTCATGAAGGCAGACCCTCGTGGCCTAATCATCTCTTTAGGCAGCTGCCCTGGGATTGGGTTTCCAGTACCTGAACTTTGGAGGACACGTTCAAACCATGGCCTCATGTCATGAAGAATATGGTCAGTGAGAACCCTGATTCCCTCCCCATATTGGATAAAAAGCCATTGAAGTTTGCAAGTTTAGGACTGTCTGATGGCCTTAGGATCTTGGGCTGCTTACTCTGGAGGCCACATACAGGATGGATGGGAACCCAGATACCTATTCAGGAGGAGGTTGTTCTAGAACTGCAAGCAAGACCCTCTCACCTGGAGCCAGATGATTTCCCAATATGGAGCCACATGCAAGTGGACAAACATATCCCATGCTGTACTATATGCTCCTTAGGAAGTGATGCACACCTGTAATCCCAGCGACTCAGGAGGCTGAAACAGGAGGATGGTAAATTTGAGGCCAGCCTCAGCAACTTGAGGAGATCTTGTCTCAAAAATAAAATGAACAAAGGGCTGTGGCAGAGTGCCTCTTGAGTTAATCCCTAGGACCACCAAAAACAAACCAACAAACACCAAAAAGTGGCATCTGCCTACTTCCAGTATACCAGACTCATCAGAGTTGCCCCAGTCAGGAAGAGCACAGAATGTGGGGTCCAAGAAATTGTACCCTGAAAATGTTAACATGGATTATTTCTGGGTAGCAGGATTCTGGATGATCTGTGTAATTTTTTCCAAAACAAATAGGAGTTATTTTTAATTTTTTTTTTAAAAAAATATATTTGTCAGTTGTAGATGGACACAATACCTTTATTTCTATTTATTCTGATGTGGTGCTGAGGATGGAACCCAGTACCTGACCCGTGCTAGGCGAGTGCTCTACTGCTGAGCCACAACCCCAGCCCCAGGAGTTATTTATATATTCAGCTTGAAGGTGAGATTTTTGGGGTGGGGGAAAGAACAACAATCTGCCCACCCCCCAGGAGGTCTCAAGCAGGAGAGTAAGTCCCTTGCTCACCAAGCGAATGTCCCCACCAAAGACCAGGATGACATTTGGCATGTGGCGGAGGGATGCAGAGCGCATGCGCCTGGCAGACGAATAGTTTCCGTAGGTGGCTGACAGACAGGCGGGAAAGATTGTGTAACCGAGTCGTGGGGAAGAATAGTGGCCTATTGTTGGAGACCTGATAAACAAATGGAGAGCGTTCATCTTGGGGGTGTGGGCCTGAAATAAGTTCCAAGGCAGCTTCATGATCCATCTCAGGTCCTTCCTAGGAGTGAGTCACTGGCCCATGACATTAACCCGGTTCAGCCTTCCTGGCCCCGGCGCCTGCGACCAAGCCAAGCTGCTCTCACAGTGGAGCCTCGGGCCTAGAGCTTGGGGAAGACGCAGCAGCCAGCCTCATCAGTCATTCCCGGGCAGGCCACCGTCTCCCTTTCATTTCTCAGGTTCAGGTTCACATAATTAGGCACCCCATGGAGGTAAATGTTCTCCCCACTGATGGTTGTAATTCTGCAGTGCTCCATCTCGGAGGTGTAAGTGGACAGCTGCGGAAGCTACCCGGGTCTGCTCCCAACAGCAGCAGTGCCCCTTAGGGAGCCTGGCTTTTGCAGGAGCACATTAATGAGGTTGGAAACTGGTGGCCTAGAAATCCGAGCCAACTGCTGTCATATCAGAAATGGAAATAAGGGGGCTGGGGATGTAGTTCAGGAGTAGCACACTGGCCTAGCATGCGTCAGACCCTGAATTCAACCCCCAGTAATGAGAGAGAGAGAGAGAGAGAGAGAGAGAGAGAGAGAGAGAGAGAGAAATGGAAATAAGGAACTACTGGAAGAAATAGAGAAGCTGGTTAACCTTTAATCAGAGGCTCAGAATTTCAATTCTGGATCCACTCTGCAAAAGCTGTGTGATACTCCTGGGTGCAGTGGCACACCCCCATAATCCCAGCAACTCAGGAGGCTGAGGCAGGAGGCTGGCAAATTCAAGGCCAGCTGCAGCAATTTAGTAAGGCCCTAAGCAACTCAGAAAGACCCTGTCTCAAAATAAAAAATGAAACCTGCTAGGGATGTAGCTTAGTGGTAAAGGGCACCTGGGTCCCTCCCGCCCCCCAGGACCACCAGAAATAAATAAATGAAAACATACATATATACATAAATACAGGCTGGGCAGACAACTTCGATGTGTAGTGCTTGCCTAGTATGTGTGAGGCCCTGGGTTCTGTCCCCTGTACTGTGAGAAATAAAGAATCATACCTTCTTGAAGTCACACACCAACTGTATGTAGGACCCAGAGTGCACCCTCTGAGCCCCGGGCAGCTTGGCTTCTGCTTCAATGGGGAAAGGGAAGAAGAACATGTGGGATCAGGTATTGGCAGGTATGAGGTCCCAGAAGATGGGGTGGTGCATGCAAAGTTCCAGGTAAAATCAGCTGTCAGGTCAACAAGCTGAGTCTAGGGAACACGTTTTTTGCCAAAGGTGAATGGAGTCAATGGGTCAGGCTGCCAGCAACAACAGGTAGAAATGAGAATTTGAACTGGAGGTTCCTTCTTCCTCAGGGAGGAGGCATTTTTACACACTTCTCTTTGTGACCAGCAACTAATCTCATGATATGACCAGTGGCCAGCTTGGGATAGGCCGGAGCAGGGAGGGTCCCATCAAGGTACAAGGAAGATATAGTGGGCAAGAGGTCAGAGCTGGGAGGAGTGGATTTGAGCAGATAAAAGCTTAGGGTGGAGCTTGTCTCAAGGTGCAGCTGCCCCTTGCTGGTGGCGGTGATGATGAGGATGACATTGTCCTGGCAGCCAGGACCTGAGGTTCAGGGACTGGATTTCAGCTCCTGATAGCAGACGTAACCAGACTTGGATTTGCTGTTTTATTAATAATTTTGCCTCATAAATCTGGGCACCAATATTGCCAACTTTTTAAATTTAACCAAGCAAGACAATTCAAACAACTCAGACCCTCATCACCTACCATCACCAAGATTTCATCAAAGAAAAGCTGTCTTATCGCCAAATGGAAAGACAAACAGAATCTCAGAATTGGTAGCCATTTAAATTGAAAATGAAAATCAACTTTATGAAAAAGATCACTTATGTTCTTTTTCTCAGATGGCACCCCACAGGGTGAAGCGTTGTCATGGAGCAGGGCTGATGGGCAGGGCAGAACATAGGACGGGCTCACACACAGGGACTCGGCTACCTCCCTCCTGGGCTTGGGTGTGAGGGCCATGGCAAAGGCTCAGTGGCCAGGTACACGGTGTCTGTCCTGGCCCTGAGTGATGTGCTGACCTCACCCATTTGTGCCTTCCTAGCTGGCACCTCTGAGGTCCTGCTGTAGATATTTCAGGTCGCCCATGGAGGCAGTGGCCTTCTCACTTCGGGCCCAGCCTACTCCCACTCCATTCCAGGGCCACCTGGGGCCTCTCCCACTCAGTTGTCTCGCCTGCCATTTGTGCCTGGCCCCTGAACGGCCTTACTCTAGCTGGACCTGAAGGACTTTGACAGGATCCTACATTCTGTTCCTCTTGCTTCTGCCCACTTTCCATTGGAACCCCATCTGGGACCCCGGGACTTGACCTCAGCCTCAATGACCCAGAACCAGCACTGAACATGAGAATTTAGCTCAGCCCTGGAAACCACGGATACAGGCCCAGCACTTCTTTCCACCTTCTCCTGTTTTGCAGCTGGGCTGCAGTGGCCCCGTGGGAACAGGGGGTGCAATGAAGAAAGCTTTCTCAAATTGGGACACAGTCTGTAGAAAATATCAAGGAACTAAATGGTCATTAACCCAGATCTGTGTGGGATTCTGCCTCTTGGACCCATGTGTAAGCTATTGAAGGCAGGAACATCTTTTGATCATTTTAAATTGCCTGTTTCCTCCCCATTCCTAACTCTCCATGCCTACCCCTTCGGAAAAACCCAACAAGTGAAGACCTTTGTGGATATATTTGTGGCTATGAATGTGATTCCCTTATTCAACACACATTTGTCGATCGCGTGCCGAGCATGAGCCTCTGTGACAGGCACTTTGAGAAGTGCACTTTGAGATAGGGCTCCACTCTCAAGGGGACCTCAGCCCCACAAGGAGGAGGACACAGACATCTCAGGAACCAGAAATAAAATTGAAAATACAGAAGCTTCAGGGACAGGATGAGGGCTGGGTGGAACTGGTTTCTTCCTCGAGTGCTTGGGAGTTTGGCCCCTCTGGGCCTCCTAATGGGCACCAGGGAGTCCCATCAGCCCTGAGCTGGGCAAGAGGTCAGAGCAGGGGAGGAGTCCATTTGAGCAGATAAAGGCTTAGGGTGGAGATTGTCTCAAGGTGCAGCTGCCCCTTGCTCACGTGATGATGATGTGGATGACATTGTCCCAGCAGCCAGGAAGTGGGAGGGTGAGCGTCTCAACTATTTTGTTGGGTGTTCAGAAGTTTATCTCTTTCGATCCCCATTAATCTGGTGGTTCTCTTATCCCTGACCCTCCTTCCACATTCATCCCAAACAAGACACCCTTCCTTGCAAACAAACGTCTCCTCTTGCACGGCAACAGAGGGCGGCCCTTTGTGTGTTATTGTCTTGTTTTGGTGCTTGTTTTCTTGCTGCATTGGACTGGCCTTGTACTGCCTTTGTTGAAGCAAAAGGGCACAAGAAAGGAGAAAGCAGATCAGAGAAACACTAAACTCACCAAAAAAAAAAAAATGTTTTAATGAGTTGATTTAGTAGCGTAATGTAGTTTCCCAAGAACAGTCCATATGTAGATTGGTGGGGAGACCTCTCAGGTCAACAATCTGGATCCGAGATCCTGCTCTATTTCACTGCTAAAGGCCATTAGCAGAGGTCAGAGTTTCCTCTGGGGCCTGGGGTTGTCCCCAAGGGGGTTGGTGCTATTCCCCACCAAGCCTGGGCTCCTCCTAGCAGGCTGCCCTGATCTGCACCCAGTCTCCCCACGGTGAGGCCCCCAAACTTCCGAATGCTTTTGAGGGTACAACCATCACTTACTTCCTCATAGGAAGCTGGATGGAAGTGGGGCAGCCTGGTGGCTGGGGTGGGGGGGAGAATTAATGAATTCTGAATCCAAAGTCCAGAGACCTGGATTCTAGTCTTGGTTATAATCTGGACAGGGGCAAATTCCCTAATTTATCTAGGATGAAGTTTTTCCTGAGTCCGGTAGTTCAATGAGTCTATGTCTATTTAGCTTTAATTACTTAATTATAAATCTAATACATATGCAATATAAAAAAGTAAAGATGATATAGAAATGTATCAAGAAAGGTCCCTTGTTTCCACCTACCAGCACCTCCAGAAATAACCACTGGTAGTCAGGTAGATGCCCTGGGATGTCATCTGCAACCAAACAAACATGTCACCAGGTGTGTTTAGAGCCCACCACTTTCCAAACCTGCCTGTTAGCTGTACAATTCCAGATTCCCCCAGAGAAGACTGTCTTTTAAACACATTTGTGTTTGTGTGTGTGTGTGTGTGTGTGTGTTTAGAGGAGGGAAACTTTATTTTGGATCATGGTTTCAGAATTTTAGTCCATGGTTGGCCAACTCTGGGCCCCAGGTGAGGCAGAACATTATGGCAGAGGACATGGCAGAGAAAAGTAGCTCAGGAAACGATGGCCAGGAGGCAAACTTGTTTTTTTTTTTTTTTTTTTTTTTTAATATATTCACTTTGTTTTAGAAAATTCCAGAGATAAGTGAAAGGTGTAAAGTTGGCTCATATAGAACTGAGAGCTACTTTATTTTTACATAGCTATTCTGAACTCTGTACCTGGTATTGTCACATTGGTAGCTTGCAATGACTGGATTGAAGCAGCACTGATACCATAAAAATTGGCAAATGTTACAAACCAGGGCTCCCCCCTCCCTGCCCCACCCTTATCCAGTCTAAAGCTGTTCATTACCAGACCTGGCGAAGAACATGCTCTAACGATTCAAGAGGCACCCAGACATTTGATGGGCTCTATGGAGTCAAGGGGACTGGATTTGTGGGCTATATCCTGCGGGCAAAAGTTAACAGACCCCTGGGTGAGATCATGGAAATAGATGACGGTAAAGGAGTTGGGCTACCAACTCCCCTCTGCTGTCCCTGAAGCTCACACACTCGGTCCTTGGAAATCTTTAACCTCTGTGGTGATGTCAGTGGTCCCCATGAACCACACCCCTGTGTACACACCCCTTTGCAGTTTGACGGGGCTGCTCCCCCATTGAGGAGTCTGCTTTGGTATTTCCTTCAATCTGGACTGACTTCATAACTTTTTCTGACCAAAGGAATGTGGCAGAAATAGCAATATGCTAATTTGGGTGCCCAGGCCTGAAGAGGTCTTCCCATCTCCTCTGTTAACCTCTGAGAATCTAGAGATAGCCTGGTATCCAGTAAGCATACTGGAAGGTGACAGGCCACTTGGAGAGCTAGCAACCATCACCAACTGCCATGCATGTGGACAAGGCCATATTGGACCCTCTGGCCCAAGCCAGATGATCCCAAATGAGACCAACAGAATTACCCATGTCACCAACCTGGCTTTGCAAGAAACATATCATTTTTCAAGCTGCTACATTTTGATATGGTTCTTACCCAGCCTTAGCTAACCTCAGTTTCTGGAGGATGTGGTAGGGCCTACCTGGAAAGTTGGCTGCCCCTCCCTGCTCCGTTTCTGGCCCACGGTGTGTCTCCTTGGCTGTAAACACACCTCTACTGGAGTTGATAAGTGGTCAGAATTGGAGACTTTATTCCTTCCCAGGGCTCATGCACATTCAAAGGAATAGAATTATAATCTATCTTATAGATTTGAGGCTCTTTTCAGGGACATGTTTGTGGCAGGGACCCACCCATCTCCTCTTCAGAAGTCACATCTTGGCTTTAGGCCTGTGAAAGGCCTTTCCCAGATGAAGGAGGAATGGGGCAGATCTGATTCAGGTGAGGTTGAATTGATGGATAAGAGGAAATTTTGAAGAAATTCAGGCACGACTGCCATCTTTGTAGCCAGACAAATCAAAATAATACCAAAATGTGGCTGGAGGAAAACAACAAAATAAACAAGGATTACAACAAGATAAAATGTTGGGTCACACATGATAGTCATGCACCCGATATGGCAGGTTCATAAACACGGTATAAAGTCGGATGGATTCCACTGGAATTTGACCTCTTCTGAGGTCTTTACAATGTTTTATTTCTGTTGGTGCCAGGCCTGGTGCACAGACTTGTAATTCCAGCAACTTAGGAGGCTGAGGCAGGAAGATTGCAAGTTCAAGGGCAGCCTGGGCAACATAGCAAGATCTGCCTCAAAATAAAACAAAAATAAAAAGGGCTGGGGATGTGGTACAGTGAAGGAACATCCCTGGGTTCAATCCCCAGCACTAGAGGGAAGGAAGGGAGGAAGGGGAAAGATAGAAAGTTCTGTTTGTGTCTGTTTCCCTTGCTAGTCTGTTACTTGAGAGCAGGAACCATACATTATTCGTCTTTATGACACTTGAACTTAGCACAGAGGGTATGAACACTGTTTAGTCCAGAAGCTCAAATCCAAACCAAAGAATAGCATGGGAAACTTAGAAGCCAATATGTCTCCTGATTTTGAAATTGTGAAAGTTTTTAAATGTCGGCAGAAGAGCCTGGAGAGCAGGGGTCTCAGCCCACTGAAAACTGTCTGGCCATATGGGCACTTGGCTCCCCTAATCCCATCTTGGGCCAGAAGTGAGTGCCCCTCCCCAAGCACACAGGTACAACTTCAAGGTGAAGCTGCGGGTCCTGGGTGCAGTGCCACCAACCTCACTGTTCAGCCAGAAGTGACTTTGCTTGGCTTTGGGCAGCACAGAAACTGTTGGAGTCCCAGACCTGGAGGCCTAGTGTCATGGATTTCAAACCCTCGATTGTCCTGAGGCAAAGGAAACAGGACAGGAGAAACAGCCGAGGGTGGCATAGCCCAGACACTGGTCCTGCTCTGTCAACTTGCCGTTCTCACTTTTCCCTCCACTCTTGCCTCAGCATCCACTGAGGCCTGGGGTGCTTTGGAGATTCCCAGGCACATCTCTGGGTGAGTGGGTGGCTCTGGGGAATGTGTGTCCCTCTTGCAGTTAACTCTGGGGACGAGGCCAGGAAGAAGGGCCCACTGAGTCACCTGGACCCAACAACTCCTTGTCAATCCCTCTCTCCAGGAGGAAGGAGAGCAGGGAGGGAAGAATGGAAGGAGGAAGGGAGTGGGAGAAGCTTGCCTGACACACCTGGGCAGGTTCCTCCATTACCTACAGAATAAAGTTCAATCCTTTTTTTGGTATGCAGAGCCCTTCCCAGGCTGGGCTCACCCACAATCGCAGCCTTATCTCTGCCTCTCCCGACTCTGCCCTGCCAACCACTGGAGGAGTCTCCTCAGGCTCCTGTGGGCCTTGAGTCCGGAATGTTCTTTACCTTTCCTTGCCCACGAAAGGATACTACTCTCCCTTCAAGGGCTCCCACTGCTCTGCCATGCTGTCCCTACGTGCAGGCAAAGCCAGCCTCACCTGCCCCAGCCTCCCTGTTGCCCCTACCACCACCTATCTGATAGCTGGACCACCCACTCACTCATGCGTTTGTTCATTCAAAGGCTTATTGAGCACCTGCAGGAGCCAGGAGCTGTGATTAGTTCCAAGAACACCACAGGGAGCAAAGTAGACACAGTGCCCACCCTGCCCTGATGGACTTTATAGCTCTGTGGTGGAGACAGCTGTGGAGCAAATAAGAACATAGGAATTCGGACGGCAAATAGCCAAGGGTTTACTCTAAGAGTGAGGGTTGGGGCATGAAGGAGAGAATAACAGGGAAGGGGCTACTGAGGTGAGGGGCTGGCGAGGGGCTGCAGACAGAAGGACCAGCCCAAGCAAGGCCCTGACGTGGGTTCAAACATAGTGTTTGAGGAAGTAAAGGACGGTAGAGGGAGGTGTCAGCTCCGGGCTGTGCTCCTAGAATCTGATGGACAGCAGTGAGGACTTTGGTCCTTATCCTCAAAGAAATGAGGGACACTGCTCAGGTCCTCCAGTGGGGGTGGAATATGGGGACATGTCTGAGTTTCATCTTTAAGAGGCCCCTCCCTCAGTGGTCACATGCAAAATGGGTCAGCAGTGGTGGCAGGAATGAAGGCGGGAAGTCAGGGCGAGGGTGGGGACTTCAAGTGTCCTAGGGAAGAGATGTTCAGGGCCTGGACAGTGGTGGGCAGACTAGATCAACAGGGGGGCAGACTAACGGGCCCAGGGGCAGGTTGGAAATAGGGACAAAAGAACAAAGGATAGCTCCCCGGCTTCTGGCTTGAGCCATGTCTGTCCTACGGGCCTGGGCTTGCTCAGTCTTCTATCTCCCTGACCTAACAGAGCATCTCAGAAAGAGTAGGCCTGTGGACATCGCTTGCAAAAGGAAAATCCATGCACAGAAATAGAACTTCACAAAAGGGCAAACTCTCTAAGGGGGTGCCATTTTAGCCAAATGGTTTATAGAATTTCCATGACAAAACCAGATCCCTTCCAAAGTGATAAATTTTATCAAAGTTCTTCCATTCTTCCTATCCTCCCCCATTATGGATAAGTGTCTATTTATCAGAGAGAACATTCAGCCTTTGATTTTTTGGGATTGGCTTACTTTGCTTATCATGATATTCTCCAACTTGACCTATTTACCTGCAAATGCCATAATTTTATTCTCTTTTAATGCTGAGAAATATTCCATTATGTGTATATACCACCATTTCTGTATCCTCTCATTTACTGAAGGGCATCTGGGTTGCTTCCACAGTTTAGCTATTGTGAATTGAGCTGCTATAAACATTGATGCAGCTGCATCACTATAGTATGCTGATTTTTAAGTCCTTTGGGTATAGACCGAGGAGTGGGATAACTGATAAATGATGGTTCCATTCCATGTTTTCTAAGGAATCTCCATACTGCTTTGATTGGTTGATTCTAATTAGGTATATATGACAGCAGAATATACTTTGACTCATTGTACACAAAGGGAGCACAACTTTTCCTGGAGTATCCCTTCAACTTTCCACTGGTAACAAATAAGTCACTACCACTAGCCCAGATGTGTTCATCAGCTTTCTATTACTGTGACAAAATACCTGAGAAAAATAAACCTACAGGAGGAATGGTAAAAATGGAAAAAAAAAAGTGATAAATTAATGGTCTGGGGGATGTAGTTGACAGGTGAGAGACCGGTATGCTCTTCTCTCATTATATGTATGTATATGTGTATAATAAGTTGTAGATGGACACAATACCTTTATTTTATGTAGTGCTGAGGATAGAACCTAGGGCCTCACACATGTGAGGCAAGGGCATCACCACTGAGCCACCCACACACACCACAGCCCT